GACTACGAAAGTGGATGGTAACCAAATTCGAGAGCAGGGTAGAGGGATAGGATAAAGCCTGAATGAACCTCCAAAACTTGGAAACTGAGACCACAATTCTGCTCACTGACTTTAGGCTAACTTCCGGGTTTGATGCTGAATGGCCAATTGGCGCCTAATTCCTACCGTGTGCCTTAAGAATATAAGGGCCACAAAAGTACAAGACGCATCCTTTCATGCAAAAGTTGCTCTCAAATTTAAAATCGAATGCTAATGGTAACGATCTCAACACGAACTTCAACATCCGTGCTTGGAAGCGGGACAGTTTCGGAGAAGGCGGGCCGGATTAGATTTGGAGTCTTACTATGCTGCAAGTAGCTCACCTTTTGCTGCAAAAACGCCACAGTTCCACTAGCCGCTTGACTGCCACTTCCACACGTGCATATAAATATAATAGTTCTCTGATTATGAGCCGTTCTGAGCGATGTTTATTGTCTTTGACTGAAAGCTGGTGGCTCAATACGACAGTTTCATTTTGAGCACCTTTTGCATTGCAATCCGTTGCCAACACAGCTCCTCACTATCTACACCGTCGGATAATGAAATCGAAGTTCAAGCTAAAGTCAAGGTTGAAAAATGAGAAGTCGGTCTTGGCACTCATCCGCCCTTCTCGAAAGAATAGCATATCGAGTTTTTTTTTAGAGTAGCACCGTTTCTAATGTATGTTCAGTTCATTAGGGATGACTTTTCCGAACAATTCGAGCTATCGCTGAGAAAGTAGAGGGATATTCTCTGCTGCTGTAACCATCTCCTATCAAAACAGTTAGAGAATAAACGGGCACATTAACGACAGCATGACTAATGTGCATGCGGCAAACTTTTACACATATGAGGCTTGTTTGCGCAATGTATTGGGTTGTCCACGAAATCCTGCGACACTTTGAACAAAGTTCTTTAGGAAAAATCAAAACTCTTTCCAGTAGTTTTGGCATTTGATTGCTGCAGTGTATCTTCGGAGGTTTCGGCAGAAGCGTAAATGAAGGCTTCGTGCAGCGTTTTACAGCTTCAAACTTCTCTCTGAATCAACCCATCTTTTGACCTATTTTATTTTTCGAGCTCCTGTAAAGCCACTCCGTTTGTGTCGTTGCAGCTAGCATCTGTGCTGTAGTCAGGAGGGATGTCATTCACTAGGCCATGGTGTCCCGTTGGCCCTATTGCCTCGCAACTGGAGATATTTTGTTCGAAATGAGGCACGGAGCTGGACGGCAGTAGACGATGACTGAAGAGCGTTTACTCAACTTCCAAGAGGCGCAGCCGGTTGGTACCAGTAGTAGGTTAACAACAACGCTTATGTGCATTCATTCGACAATTGTCGAGGATCTGCACGATCTCGGTTACAGATCAGTATGTTCGCCATTGACACCACATGGGTTGCGCCAGTCTGGGGAGGCGAACCGTGTGACCATGATTCAGATTTCTCTTCTTCTTTCGCATCAAAGGAATCTCTTGACAAAAATGATGGCTAATGAAGATAGCTCTGGCCTTGACTAAACTATACACATAAGCACTACTGGATTCGACTAGGAGGAAAGCTGCTCGCAGGAACAAAAGCTGGCCTTCGTCAAGAATGACTTTTTAGTGTGATGAGGTTGCAAACTAATTCGCTTCAGAAAACTGCTGAAAACCTGCATCAGGGTAACCCATATCTGTATGTGGCGAAGGATGT